CTTCTTCGATGGCTCGTTCGACGAGATTCTCTGCCAGACTTTAGACAGCAGATCCTTACAAGGTTTCGTTAGTTCGTTCATTGGATCTCATGCAGCGGGTTGGAGGCAGCACAAGGACTTTTGCTAGGCTTGCACGCGGGAGAGTCTTGGTCACTGGCGCAAACCCGATCCACGAGTGCTTGGCCACTCAAGGAGCGCTAACTTATTCGCCGCCAAAAGCTCCGGTTTGACACCGAAGCCAAGGTGGAGATGCTCTGCATCGACCAGCGGTCGATCTGCGACGCCAAGGTGCTTCGCGCCCGAGGCCAGAAGGACATTGCGGCGGCCGCGGCGTCGGCCATGGCCACCAAGCTGCGCAACGACGCGATAGTGACGCTGCGCACACCTTTTGGTTGAGGTCCTTCTTCCTGCCACTTGCAAACACCTCGCGGAGGTCGTCGACTTGGTCATGGCGCACCGAGTGCACGAGGCGGATCGCCTCCTCAGTGATCTGCGAGATGAGCTCGTTGAACCCGAGGAGGTAGATAAACTTGACGGCGTCGTCCACCTGGAAGTTGATCGAGATGTCAATGTCGTTCATGACGTTGTCGGACGTCGCGCAGCGCTGGACCGGCGCCGAGTACGTTACCGCGTGGTTGGTGACGATGTGCGAGACGCGGTAGTACGACGGCCAAAACATGTTGAGACCGGGCTCGAGGATCCCCGCATGCGCATTTTTGGTAGAGCACCCACATCTTGAATGGGGCATCGAGAAGGTGCGGGTACTTGCGCACAAGCACGAGCGGGATGCTGATGTCGTTGGTCTTGGCGTGCTCGGCCTGCATGTGCTTGCGGATCGTTTTTGGACGACGATGCTGAGCTGCTTGGAGCCTTGCTTGGTGAAAGATGAAATGGGATCTCGAAGATGCCAGGACTTGTGGGCCCGTTGGGCATGGACAGAGGCAGTGCCAGTGGACATTGTAGTGACGCTGTTTTGTACTACTCTATTTTGTGTACATGTAGTTGAAGGAACGAGCGGGAATGACTCTCGCGTATGTGACCGCCTGAATCGCATTATTTTACTTGGATTTTGTATGCGAAGGAGTCCACTTGGCGATTTCTTCGACTCGTCAGCATGTCCAGCACCGTGGTGCATCGACGAATCACGAGTACTGCAAATACCCCTTCTTCCTTTCTAGACAGCATAAGACGCTGGGCTCTTGCAGTGGGACAAAGCTCTTGCGTGCATATGAGCAAGGGTCCCTTGATATGAGCTAGGGTTGTGGCTTCGTGAAGCTCTGGCAACGAACCATCCAGGAGTTTCCCGCGTGTCACACACGGAAAAGGGGCACGTTGAAATTTATATCTGGAGTCGAAGCTACTGTGCGCATCGACAAATTTTATCGACGACGGGTTCGAAGCGACGACCGGGTTCCTTGCGTATCTCTGCGGCTTTCTGAGTTTCTGAGTGACGTGTGATCTCGATCCAAGATTCTAACCGCTGATACGACAAGCGAAAACAGATGTGTTGTTGCTGGCGTATGTGTCCAACGCCGGACTCCAAAGCTCCACTGGACCCTTGCGACAACGTCGAGAACTTGGGATAGACTCACTTCAACGTCGAGAGCTCAGAGTACATGCACGACGTGGTAGCGCGTTTTGAACCTGGAGGACAAACTCCACCCTCAGTTTCCAATTTCATTTGTGAACATGACAACGTCCGAGAGCAAGGCCAAGGCCCAGACGCACCTTCTCTACGACACGATTTGGCGCGTCGACAAGGCCAACGAGCGCTTTGGCTCGTGCAAGGACGGCAAGACGATTTTGATTCTGCAGCCCGGCCGGAGCCCGATCAAGCCCTACATTCGCATCCCCGAAGGCATGTACGCGATCGTCCAGCGCTACGGCAAGGACCTCGACTACGAGCACCCAGACGGGCGTCACAGCCCGCTGTGGCCAGCGGGGTTTCACATGGCGTCCATCTTTACCAAGGTCGCGTACCTCGTCACCAAGCAAAACGTAGTCTTCAACACGCCCGTCAAAGGCTGCAAGACCGCCGATAACGTCACCGTCCACATCGACATGTGTCTCGTGTTTCGCATCATGGGCGACGAAGCCAAGGGCGAAGACCCAGCGCTCGTCAAGCGGTTCGTGTACGAGCTGGGGCCGCAGGGACTCGAAACGCAGCTGCGCAACGCCCAAGAGGAAGCCGTGCGCGCGCTTGCGCGAAGCGTCGAGCACACCGAGGTCTACTCGCTCCGCGACGGCACGGTCAAGGAACGTATGGAGAACTCGCTTCAGACGCAGCCATCGGCGCCCATTGACGACTTGCTGTTTGATGAGGAAGAGACCAAGACGACGGACGAGACTCCCGTGCTCGCAATGCCCGTCAAGTACCTCCAAGTCGAAGGCGCGTCCGACGTGCCGGCAGCCAAGGTGCTCTACAGCGTCACGGAGGACATCAAGCACAACCTCAACACGCAGTTCAACCCGTATGGCGTCGAGATCTCGTCGGTTGCGATCACCAACGTCTTTTTGCCGCCGAATTTCGAGACGCAAATGGAGGAGAAGACGACGTACCAGAGCGCGATCAAGGAGCAAACGATGAAGCAGATGAGCGACATGCAGCTGCTCCAGTACAAGGAAGAGATCGACACGACCAAGCTCTCCAAGCGCATGCGCCGCATGGAGGAGACCGAGGCGGGCAGTCGCCAGTGCGCCGAGATCCAAAAAACCATCGACGTCATTAAGGCCGACACGAAGCTTCTCGAGGCGCAGATCAAGCAGGAGCAGAGCGTCCGCTGCGCCAAGATCGTCGCCGACGCCGACCTCGCGATCGCCAAGATTGCCGCCACGACTGAGATGATCCAGACCGAGATCCAGGCTGCGTGCGATGCCGACGTGATGCAGATATACGCTGAGCGTGACGCGCTCCAGCTCAAGATGAAGGCTGACGTCGACCGACTTCGCGCACTGGGCGAGGCCCGCGTCCAGGAGATCCTCGCCGAAGCCGAGGGTGCGGCGGCGACCAAGCTCGAGCACCAGCGCGCGTTCTTGCTAAAAATGCAGCGTCTCGATGTGACAAGCGCAATGGCTGCCAACAAGGACGTTGTGATTGCTGGCGACGGCAACAAGAACCTGCTTGCCGACGTCTTTGTCGCGCACCAAAAGACCAATCTGCTCCTCAACCTCCCAGGCATCTCGGCGTAGCTGAATGATAACTCTTTTATGTTCTTTGATTGGTTGGATCGAGAGTATCGACTTGACAATATGAAGCGCCTTGATCTGCATTGCGTCAGATCTCTTTATGGAGCTTGACGATGCCAGAGCATATTTGTTAAACCGTCGACCATCTCGCACTGCGTCTTCTACTTCACAGAGTTGCTTTACCCGATTACGTAGAAGAGCCAGGTTGCAAGTTGAAATGGGCGGAAAAGCTCTCGCATCACCCTTTATCGCTTCCTGATACCCGTCGCGCTGCCTCTTTAGTTGAAGAAACGTATGTCATCCCACACGACGATATTAAGCAAGCTAATGCTTGAGAAGCTGCTGCGCAAGACGAACCGCTACCTCGCGCACTTTTCGACGCCAGAAAAACTCGCGAATCCCAAGATGCGTGCCACGCTCATTGCGCTGAAGCGTTTCCGGGATGACATTGTTTGCACGCGTCTGGCGCGCACCTTCTCGGAACGTGCGCACTACTACCGTGGCCTCGCCGATTGCATCCGCCGCCTCAAGTGGCTCTCACCTGCGTATCGATGCGCAAGACTTACGCGATAATGTAATATCAGTATTCCTGGCGTTAAGAAGGTCGGCACATAAAATGACCAAACCTGGTGCCCCACGAATGACGATTGTGCGATATCAGGGCTGAATACGAGACGTTAGCGTGGATTTTCACGTGTAGAGACGTTGTGGTAGCGAGACCGAACGAACATCTTCGCTCGCATCAGCAGCGTCTTGCCCCCTTGTCGTCGATGCTGGCGGCCTGGGTCAAAGCTTACGCCCGCGGCTGTGGACCCAAACACTATTGCAAACACACAGTTCAGGACCACTTTATCGCAGTCTGTTCGTACTTGAGATTTTGTCGACACCGCCGCCTCGCATGCCAAGCGGCAATGTCGATGCTACGAGGCCGGCCAATCCAACGCCTCAGACTCGATTTCATACAGAATCCCACACGCTGTTGAAAACACTGTTTATCGGGAAATCCTGGCGGGTCGAAAGGCCGTAGTCGATGGGAGTGGACCCATCACGACCGACTGACTGACGATGCCAAGTGCGACAACTGCGCCGATCCACGCCCAGCACCTCGTACCATTCGTTATGCCGTCGCTTTGCCTCCTATTGGCCATCACCATGTAGAGCGCCGAGAAGGACCTGCTCGTCACGCGCCTCCAGCACGAGCTCACGGCAATCAAGCAAAAGCTCGTCGAGCAGGTGAGCTCCGTTTGCACGACCACGACCTTGGAACCAGCGGCCGATAGAGCGAAGAGCTCGTCCAAGTCCGGTCGAGCAACCTCAAGCTCCAAGAAATGCTCAAGAAGAAGGAAAAGGACGTACGTGGCTCTGTCGCACCCCGCTAGCCATTGTCGCACCCTCGTAGTTGCAAAACGTGTTTGCAGTCATGCGCGAGGGCAACACCCAAGGCGCTGCCAAGCGTCGAAAAGAAATCACCGACCGCCTCGTCAATGAGCTCCAGCAAAAAGCACGAGCTCGCGCCTTCCCCGTTTGGAGTTCATAGGCTCAGTAGGCGCACAACGCTGAGGCGCTCGCACAGACCCGCAAAGTGGAGCTCGACGAGCTTAAGTACAGCTGGTATCTACCAAGTCGTTTCAGCGATAGAGGTCATGAGGTCAATGACGTTAGCAAGTCCCTCCGACTACAAGAGCTACATATGCAGGCCCAAGAGTACTATAAAGAAGTCCAGCGGCTGCGAGACGCACTTGCTGCGCAGCCAGCGACTGTGCCGTCGCCTCGGTACTCCGTTTCGCGAGGTACCATTCTCATGCCGAGGTAGGAAGGAGACGCGATTGCAAGCCAACAACGTTGAGCCCGAAACGACGTCGCCTGCACCCAAGAAGGAACCATTGCCGCTGCCGATAGCTCTGCCCAAGGTAGTCGAGAGTCCAGAGCAAATGATATTGATGGGTCTGGAGGCCGATGTCTCGGCGTCGAAATTCGTCAAGCGCAAGAAGCAAGCCATCATCGAAGCCGAGTATCGGCGGCAGTGCCGCATTGCCGAGCTCGCTGCACAGTGCGAGATGGAAGAGAACATTCCGCGACAAGCCAAAAGACTGGCCAAGCAAGCTGCAATCGAAGCAGCTGCGCGGGAGCCCCCCAAGCTGATCGAAACGCCACCAATTGAGCTCAAGCTCCAGGTGAATCCTCCCATCGTCACCATTGCGAAACCAGAGGTACCATAAGAATGCACCTTCGCAGCGCCACCGGTGTTGTAGGTCCTTCCCACCGAGCCACCGAACTGTCTTCAACCTAATGCCTGGACATGTCCTGTCTGCTTGAGCAGCACCAACCCATGGTCGACCATGTGCGGGACCTGTGGGACGGCCCGTCCATCGACCGAAGTCAACACGCCAGTGTTGTGCTCCATTTGCAGTCACCGACCGGCTACCCACTGCCGCGAGTGTGCTGCACCCATGGTCTCGACCGCGGTTGAGCCACCGTGGCTGGTGCAACCGCCGTCACCGCACATCAAGCCAGCGCAGGCGTCTCTTCTCGCGTCGTCCATTGAAGTCTCACAGCGTACGTATGACGCGTTGCTCGTCACGATCGAGAGTGCGCGGGGCTTGTACGATGCACAGTGGGTCGGGAAGCAAGACCCGTACTGCTTGGTCACATGCGGCGACATGTCGTTCCGGACTAGAACCCACGACGACGGCGGGCGAGACCCTGTGTGGCACCAAGAGCTCACGTTCCCCCCTCACTGCCTCAACGCCCCTTTGGCGATCGAGATTAAGGACGAAAACTACCTGCACCACGACGGCTACATCGGCTGCTGTGAGCTTCCACCGACCGCGTGGCAACTGGCCGATGTCGCCAACGTCTGGCTACCTGTGCAGCACCATGACGCACGCGTCGGCGAGCTCTGCGTCTCGATTCGAAAGCAGCTGGCAGCACCGACACAAGAGCCAAACGTTCAAAGCCAGAGTGTTGTCGAAGATACCGCTACCGACGACTATGCAGAAGACTCGAGTGCTGTGGTAGAGGTCGCCCGAAACGTGACGTCGTCACCGAGAGACCTCATTGCCGACTCGATGGAAAAATACATTGCTATAGTCGTCAAGGAGGAGGCGCCTCTCGAAGAGCTTGTCGACGACATGTCAGACGACAATGTGATCGCTGCGCCAGAGATGGCAGTGACGCTTGCGGACGAAGAAGACATTGTGGATGACGATGACGACGACGATGAGGCGAAGCCCGTCGACGATCATCTGGGCGATGCCAACATGGTAATGAGAGCCAATGACAGCGATAGCTCGGGTGTCGCCCCGGAGCCTCCCCTACGAGATGAGTCGACTGGTCCTGCCACTGAACCCCAAGGAATAGAGACGATCGACGCGTTACCAGCGGAAGACGAGACGTCGTTCAACATGCAAGAGGAAACGACGACGACGTTGCTCGCACAAGGAGAAGCGACAGAGGATCTCGTCTCTCCGACTGCCGCTGACAACGTGGCGGAGGCAGTCACCAACGAAGACTCGAGTAAAACCACCCCTGTCAAGGCAGCCGAAACACATGCGCAACCAGCCGCTATCATCGCGAGCCAAAGCACCGAGCACGGTGACGGTGTCGAGTTGCCAACGAGGGCAATTCCGATGCAGCTGTCAACGCCGACACTGACCACTGCAATGTCTGAGCCAGTGCCCTCCGATCCGCCAGCTGCCACGCTAGATTCAACGACACACTTCGAGTCGGTGACCACACCAGATCCTACACCCGAACCATCGACCCTACCAGAACTAGCGACCACACCAGAGTCGACGGCCACACCAGAGCCTACGTACGAGACGACAGCTGCCCTCGACGACGACACGGGCAACGCAGAAGACGGATGACGAAGAGTAAGAGCTTCTGGTTGTCAGATGGGGTCTTGGCGAGGCTTATTGGAGCTGCGCGGCGCTGCTAACGCGCCGCAGGCCGTCGGCTCGGAAGGGTTGGGCGGCTGGATGAGCACAAAAGTCGTCGGGTGGTCGGGCGGTGGCGGTGGCAAAATGGTGTCGGAAGGCGCCAGCAAAAACTCGTGGTAGAAGCGCCGAACGCGGAAGCGATACCCGAGGTGCAGACAAAGGAGCGTAAAAATACCGTGGTCCGCGATAAAGTGGGGAATTGGCATCCAATTCAGCTGATTGTTGACCCACAAGAGCGGAAAATACGTGAAAAAAACCACCGGCAGCGCATGAAACACCTACTCCCAAGTATCAATCTGTCAACTCGAAAGTCAAGGGTACCCTTAGCTTTTCCATGATGGGGGTCGTGTCCGGGTCGATATGGAGCCGCACTTGCATCTCAAAGGTCAAGTTGCGGAGGCGCTTGACGTGGCGCCGAGCGTGGCTATAGTTGCTACATTGATACGATCAAAACAAAATGCGTCCTCTGTATAACTACCTAAACATGAGGTAGCAAGCCACGCTCCACTGGATCTGTTGCAAGACGCCAGGTCCACTCGCCGTGTTCGAGTAGAGCGACGCGTTGCGGCAGATGGTCCAGAACATCACAAACGTCCAGTCGAGCGAGATCCACGTCGGGTTCTCAAGGCCATTTTGCGTCACTTGGTAGCCGTCGGCGAGCATCAAGACGAGTTGGACCTACCGTTTTCATGATACCCTAGCCCCAGAGATACATTTTACGGTGAAGCAGCGGCAGAGGAACTGCAAGAAGAGCGCGCCAACGACCGAGTAGCCAAACTGGAGAAAGATCTGAATCGGCGCCAGTGGACTGGCGAACGTCACGCACGACAGCAGCGCGTACGCAGTCTACAGACTCTAATTCAACACGCAGAAATATGAAATCTAACTACCTCCATGAGAGCGATGATGGCAAAGAGATAGTGCAGGCGAATGCACAGATACGGCTTCTTGAGCAGCGGCACGACCCAGAGCAGCGTCAGAACAATCCACAGCGCCGCGTACGCCATGTAAAAGCTCAGCAAGTCCGCAACGCTGTCGCCCAGACACCGGCCGTCACCGTCGCACATGGCGATGTCGATCTGGCCCGTGATATTGGGCGCAATCGTCGGCGACACTATGCAGTTGCTTCTCGCGTCCTCATCAGCCGCCGGCATGTCCGGGCACGCAAAGCACGTCGTATTCAGACCCGTCGCGTTCTTCATACAGGACGGCAGCCAGCCTACGAAGCTTAGATGGGCGATGCTTGATATACTGAGTATTCGATACCATGGGTGCCCCCGAGGGCTTCGCACGCGTCCAAAAAGATAAACTTGGGACCCGCGGACGCCTCCGAAACGCGGATGTGGAGGTATGTGATCGTGTGGTACTGGGTCGACGTCTGGTTATCTACGATTTTGAGATTCCATTTTGTGATTTTGAGATGTTGAGATTTGTCATACAGAGGCTCACAAAGCTCGACTGCCGTAGCGGAAACGTGCGGCACCCGGCGGCCGTGCCGAGCGTTCGGTTGACACAGTAGGTGTCGCCAAAGACCATCTCGTCGCAGAGCAAGAGGTACATCATGGTGCGGCCTTGGACGACACCGGGCGTCGCTTGAAGCGTCACATCGAGGTACACGACAGCCTCGCCGCCACGTGTAAAGTTGAAGATGTCAACCAGCGGGACGTGGTCCGAGCTCGACTGCACGACGTACGGCTGCGTGAACTCGATGCCGGTCACGAGCTTGAGCAGGACGCTTGTCAACAGCAGCAACAACATCATTTTGCCAATATGGGTACGAATTAGGAGCTAAATATGGCCTCGGCCAGCGTATTGGCGCGTAAAAATACGGGTGCGGTTTGAAAAACGAAGAGATATTTTGTTTGTGGCATATGCCGAAGATACGCCGTCGACACAGCGCACGCCAAGCGCGCGACATGGCTTTAACACTCCTGGATGCTGGATGCGACAGAGATACATATGAGGCAGCGCACGTTGGACCTGGCGCCAAAGTACGTTAATAGCTCAATGGCTCTATTGCGTGGTCCGACGTGGTGGTGTGGGTTTAAAAGTGGCATTGGTGCCGAATCCGCCCACGAAATCCAGTGCGAGGATGAGCGATGGCAGCGAGCCGGCCCGATGGGCCAAGATCCCCAAGCTCATCGTGTTTGATCTCGACTTTACGCTGTGGTACCCCGAGATGTATGAGCTTGCGGGCGCGCCCTTCCTCCGCAACAAGGCTGGCGTCGTCTCGGCCCGCGACGGCGAAGAGGTCTATCTCTTCGACGACGTCCATGCTGTCCTCGACGAAATCGCGACTGCGCCCGCGTTTGCCAGCACCGAGGTCGCTGTGGCCTCGAGCACCACGTACCCGCACTGGGCGCGCGACTGCATGGGCCTTATCCAAGTCCGAACCGACGAGGTAGCACATCTCCCATCGCCCACTTCTTGAGGCTAGCGTAAACCAGGCGAAGAAGCCCAAGGGCAAGAAGCCGACATCGCCACGCGTGCTCCACAGCTTCATCGACTACCAAGCGATTTACCCCAAGAACAAGCAAGTGCATTTCAAGCAGCTCCACGAAGAGTCGGGCGTCGCGTACGAAGACATGCTCTTCTTCGACAACGAGCATTACAACATCGTCAACGTCCAGCAGCTCGGCGTCATTTGCGCCTACTGCCCTGACGGTCTCAACCTCGCCGTATGGAAGGAGGGCATGGAGCGGTTCCAGACCAAGGCCGCGCTCGACGCTACCTCCGACTACTAGACTACATGAAGCGAAACTAAGAAAGCAAGTACAGAATGCTTTAGTAGATAGAGTACACCGCCTTCTTACGCGGCCGAGATGAGCTCACGCGCCCGCACAAAGATGGCGACAAGCGAAATGAGCTGGAGCGATTCGGACGTCCCCGAGCAGAGCCGGTGCTCGAGGTGTGCGAGCTGGTCGTAGACGTACATGCGCGCGGCCGGCGGCAGCTCGAGCTCGTTCGTGTTCTGGTAGACGTGCTGCAGAATGTCCGTGGTCGCATACCCTTTCTGGAGCTGCATCGCCATGCACTGCTTCACACTCTCCTCAAACGGCGCCGTCCAGAGCCAGTTGCAGAGCGCTGTCATGTCGGCGGGGAGCGGGTTGCCTGTGCAGAGATACACCTACACCACAATGATTTCGCAACCAATGCAAGCCCGAGACAGTCGTACGTTGGCCTCGTTCACTTCGTCATGGGCCATCGATGTGGCTTGGAGGATGTTGAGAATGCGTCGCATGTCGCCACCGCCGAGGCGCAGCACAGCTTGAAATCCGTCTTGGGTCATCGCCACACTAGCAGTGCATGAGATAAGCATGGCGACGAGGGGGACGTTACTTTTCGAGCTTGGCAATGTGCTCGACGCGGTCGCGGACTTGATGCTCCTCGAGCGGCGAGAAGCGGAAGCGCGTGCAACGAGACTGCAGCGCCGGGATGATCTTGCTCACGTAGTTGCAGATGAGGCAGAAGCGAGCGTTCTTGGTGTACTTCTCAATCACTAGAGAGGCATGAGCGAGGAGCTAGGGTCGACAAGGCGATGGGCATACCGCGACGCAGCGCAAACTGCGCGTCGTTGGTCATGGCATCGGCTTCGTCGAGGATGATGAGCTTGATGCCATCGGAGAAGAGCTTCTTCGTGCCGGCGAATTCCTTGATCTGGTCGCGCACGACGTTGATGCCACGGTCGTCGGAGGCGTTGAGCTCGAGCACCATCGACTGGTAGTTGTTGCCGTAGAGGCGACGGGCGGCGGCGAGCATCATGGACGTCTTACCCGTGCCCGGCGGCCCGTAGAAGAGCAGATGGGGCATCTTCTGCGAATCAATGAGCCGGTTGAGCGTCGCGACAATGTCGGCGTGGGCGATGAGGTCGCTCAAGGACGACGGCCGGTACTTCTCGACCCATGGCCACGATTCGGTCGAGCGGTTCTTGGACGAGATGCCCTGGAAGCTATACATTCTCACTGTGATCTTACGCGTCGGTGGTCCATGTAGTACCTGGGGTCAGCCTTGGCGTCCATCGTGTCCTCTAATCGTCGAATGGAACGGCCGCTGCCGCGAAGGCCTCTGATTGGCTGAAATCAGGATTATTGCGATACAGCATTGGTGTATTACAGGGAAAATCGACATTTTTAGCCAGTAAGCAAGCGTTAAAGGAGCTCCAGCCCTGGCCAAAACGAACCCGCTGCCCGCAGCGCACCTCCAACTCCATCCGCTCCATCAGCACCAGGGCCGACCACCACAGTGAAAGCATCCGACTAGATGCTGAGCAAGGTCCTCACCGGTAGTGCTCAAGCACCTCCAGAGGGCGTCAATGCAAGGTTGCGTGATTTTAGCTACCGTGTTCACCACCAAACACTATCCAGCAAGCACTTGTATCAAAGTATCAAGTTGGATGAAATTGATTGGAGATTACGAGCACGCTGTCAAGCCGTGGAAGGTGCCCAGAGCAAGCGCGTGATAATGCGCGCGGCGACGGGCGAGCGCTCTGAAAAAGTCGGCGGGAAGCGCTTCGTGGCGCTGGACGTCAGCAAAGCACGTTGGGTATTCGCTGACCTCTTTAAACAAGGAGGGCAGGCGAAGTGACGTCACGTTGCTCGGTACGTCAATGTACCCTTGGTAGCTATAGAGCTTTTCGTTGGTCGGGATGGGTCTTGTGTCGAGAAGCGTCGCCGCGTGCACGTAGAAGAGGCTCTTGGAGACTTGTCTACGCGCACTCAATTAGCCTCGCTCGATTCCACGGCGTTCGATGTTCGATCGCGCACGTACACAGAAGGCGCAATCCAGCGCTGGGCGACGGGGCCGCAGAAGACCGTCGGGTGCAGCTCGACGTCGCGCGGCGCATTGAGCGTGTTCGCTCCGTACGTTGCCACGTGGAACGGCTTGTGCATGAGCTCAAAGACCGCGAAGATCGCGTCGTGGGGCGTGACTACAAACACGCAAATTCAACCGCGAGGCCGCATGTTGCCACGTACGCCACGCGAACGACGGGTCGCGGTGCGCTTGGCCAATGAGGTTCTTGAGTAGCTTGGGCAAGCGGTCGCCGTACTACACATGCGTGGCTTAGTGTCCCATGCAAAGACTTCACAGGACAAACGCGGGTCTTGTGCACGACAAGGAGACTCGGGTCGACGGTCTGCAGCGCCTCAAACGACGAGCTGAGATGCTGCGTAAAAGCGTCCGAGAGCTCGAGGTTCACGGCTTCAACCGACGTGTCCAAGTGGTACAGGTCCGTGTATTTGCGCAGCAGATGCGTGTACCGGCCCCCCGCGTTCGCATCCGTCAAAAGGTTGCGCTGGCGGAAAAAGTACGACCCTAATTCTGAAATCACAATGTGTCAATCTCTGCATCTCGCACCACTGGCTTCGTAGCCGGCGTCGGTCCAGATGACGCTCGGGTTGCGCAGAAGCAGCGTGTGCGCATCGAGGATCATGACGTGGTCGAACGTCGACGTATAGAGAGCCAGCGGCTTCATCCATGCGTCGCGGGGCGTAGCAAACAGCGGCGGTCTCGGGATGCCGTGGTCCGCGGCCAATGCGCACGAGTTGACAACGCGGACGTGCGTGAACGCAGCGTGCTTGAGCACTGCCGCCAAGTCGGACGGCAGCTCGCGCTCTGTGCAGTGGTGCAGCTCGACCGGCAGCTCGGTCCCGAGGCACGCGAGCTCCGTGACGAGCGAGAGCGCGGCAGCAAAGTTGCCTTCGTGGACGCAAATGACCACGCCGCGGTTGTGCGGGTTTGCACTCGCATCCTTGCGCAGAAGCGTATCACCTAGCAGCCATGGCATGCGAGCAAGGCAACTGCAGGCCACGTACTTGGCACGTCGACGCGGTGCCACTGGAGGTTGCCAAAGGACTCGCGCATAAAGGCCATTGGCTGCGTACCGCCGTCTTTGCCCCAGTCGTACGTGATCAATACGAGGCAGAACGTCACGCACTGCAGCGCAAGGAGGCGCAGAATGCACCGGCCGCGCGTCGTCGAGGCCATCGGCAAAGATCAAATGATCCAGCATCGAAGAAAGCGCCAACATTCGAAATTCCATTTATCCGGAACCCGTCCACAGAATCCGGACGCGGCCGGTAGACACCGGCCTTCTACCGGCGGCGCCCACAAAAAGCCTGCGCGAGAGGCTCGCCGCGAGATACGATATATGAGAACTGGGCCCAGCGGCGCCTGCGTAGGGCGCTCGACGCGGGCAAGCGTGCTGTAAGAATACGCGCGGCAACGGCAAGTTGCGTGTTTTTATCTGTCGCACGAAGACGGCCTCGCCGCATCAGTTCCCAGAAGCTCATGTGGACGATCAACCTCGAGCCGGAGGCGCCCCGGACCCGACTCGTGCTCTCGCCGTGCCCGTATTGCCAAGAGCAGTTTGGCACGGCGTCGCTCCCGATCCACGTCAAGCGGTGCCGGGCGCTGTACGTGGCACCGACGCCCGAGGTGCCCGAGGTCGTGCAGGCCAAGTCCCGGTCGATCCCGTCGCTTCAAGCCATGTAAGCCACGCTCTATGTGTTGCATGTCTTCATGGGCTCTAGGTGTACGCAAATGATCTTGGGCAACCTCCACATCACATGCTTTAGCGGCCTCTTCACGCAGCCCGCCCACCAAGGTGCGACCAATGCATATTTGTCCTCATCATGTCAAAATGGCGAAGCGGCCCTCATCGCGAGTCTGCCCGAGACCGTGTTGCAGCAGATCCTCATGCACATTGTGTACGAGCACCAAAACGTACGCCTTGGCGTCGCTTGACCATGTGCTCACGGCGGCGATAGCGCACCAAGCGCTACGAGAAGCACAAGGCCAAGCTCCGGCTCGTCAAAGACAACTGCGCAGCGCTGGAGGCCACGTGCGCGCAGGTGCACGGCTTGCGTAAGGAGGTCGACCGACTCCAGCGGGTCATCGAGGCGCGCGACGCGCAACATGCCAAGACGCGGACCGCTGCCTCGGAGCTCCGCGCCGAAGTACAGCGCCTGCAGCAAGAGAACGCCCGCGTCGCCAAAATCAACCAACAGCAGCAGGTGCAGCTACAGGTGCGCTTGCTGGCGGTGTCGACATGCGCCTCAGCTTTGTGAATCGCTAGCGAAAGGCGTGTCTGAAGCCACCGACGACGACGAGTACGGCGAGAGATCGCGCGAAACCAGCAGTGCGGCAAACGACCGCAAGAGCGCCGGTCGTCAAGCCACCGCCGCGTCGGTCGGGCTCGGGCATTCCGTACCCGAGCTCGCTGCCATCCCGCTACGCCAAAGACCTTGATGACGCGACGCGCGGTCTGTGCCATATAAAGTTGATTTAAAGGCAGGCCGCTTAGTCCTTCTTCTCGTCGTCCTTCTTCTTCTTCTCGTCGTCCTTTTGCGTGATCTGCTTCATGGCGGCTTGGATCTTCGGGTCGTTCGGGTCGACGCCCGGCAGACCCGAGAGAAGCGAGCTGACAAAGTTGGGGTCCATAAAAGGCATCGTCGACGCCGGCGCGGGCGCGGGCGCAGCCACGGCTTCCTTCACGGGGGCCTTGGGCGTCTCTACGGGAGCCGCCGCCTATAAGAGCCAATGTGAGACACTGGTATTCCAGTGCATAGGCCACGTACTTGCTTGACAGGCGTCGCAAACGTCGTCGTCGGAGCAGGCGGCGCCGGGGCCTTGGGTTCCGCAACGACTGGCGTTGCCTCGACAGCCGGCGTCGTCTCGGCGATAGGTGCCAGAGGCTCGCTCTTGGTCGCTTCTTCGGCAGCGCGCTTCGCAGCAGCTTCCTGCCGGGCACGTTCTTCTTCCATGGAAACACGGAGCGCCTGCAAGTGGATGAGAGGCGGCTCGAAGAAGGTGAGGGGTATACCAAAGCAAGATCGGGGTCCATGCTCGGGTCGACGCCTCCAAACTCGGCGAAATCGTTCGAGCTCGAGGCACCGCCGCCCATGCCAGCGCCCATGCCGCCATCGCCATCGCCGTGGAAGATCGGCGACGAGACCAAGACGTCCGACGGCAACACCCCCGGCGGGACCGTGATCAGATGGCTAGGCGTTCGGTGAGTATTCCTGCGCAAGGGCACAGTGTGTCTCATGTACCTGTTTTGGTTGCTGTTGGCCGCATCGACAAAGGCCTGGAGCTTGGGCGCGTTGCGGTCGACGTCGCCCATCGAGACGACGTCGACGCCAATGTTGTTCTTCTTACAGAGCTTGCCAATCTTGACCAAGGCCTTGTCATCCTCGTCAATGGGCGAGCCGAGGAACACGACGATGCGCGCGCTGCCCTTCTTGTTGCGGCGGTGCTTGAGCGCGAGCTGCGCGACTTGGATCGCCTCTGAAAACTGGACCGTGCCGCCGATCGAGGCCGGCGTGATCTCGTGCATGACGTTGAGGAGCTTCCCAATATTGTCGGTCGGGCTCGCGAGGAGCGAGACCGTCTTGCTGTGCACGTTGACGGTCGAGGACATGGCGAGGATACCGACCGTGCTCTCCGGGTTGGCGTTCGTCTTGAAGGTCACGAGAAGGTTCACGGCGTCGCCCTGCGCCTCGATGCGCGAGGGAACGTAGTCGCCATTGCGCATCCACTCGGACGTGTCCACGACGATCATCGTCGACTCGAGGCCCATCCTAGCTGCGCGTCCCGAAAGGTATATGGGGCCCACAACACGTAGGATCTTCGTGACATTTGAAGTTTGTATAGTATATTCTACGCCAGCTATAAAGTCCTACCGGAGCGACGCTCGGCGCAGTTCAATTCGGACTTTAGGATGAGATTCGGATTTTCCATCGTGCCACGCTTGTTCCACAACATGGAGTCTTCGCCAGACCAAGTTGACGCTCCTTGCATGGAGTCGTCGAGAGAGCCTCGGAGCATGTATGCTACTTACCGCCAGTTGACGTGGCTTGGCTGCACGTAGCTCCAGCAGCGCTCCCTGCCAACGCACGCTACACCAACGGCAGCATGCGCCAGGCAGGCAGAGTTACAAGCGCAGATCCATGCGAGCATGCAATGGGGTTCGAGTTGAGTGCTATGGTTACATGCGCGAGAGCTATTTCCGCGGGCCCTTGCCTTCGACGCTAACGCGGTGAATCGCTATAAAGTCGTTGTAGCCCGAGAGGATCTTGAACTTGACAAACGACGCATCTTCCCTCGAGACAGGCTGCGTCTCGATCTGGAGGTTGCCGTCGTTCTCGTTGATCTCTAGACACAGCCGTCAGGCCTACGCGAGGTCGAAAATGGCACGTACGAGCGTCGACAACCTTGTCCCACTTGGTCGGCGTCGGGCCCGTACATACCTCGACGACCATGTGCTTGGCTACAGGCAAGATGCGCTTCCTCCTCCTCCTTGTAGCATCATGTACCGTTTGTCGTCCATGTCTTGATGCGCGAGATGACCGAGGCCGTCGCGAGCTGGATCACGATCTCTTGCGGGTACATGCCCGTCGTCATCCACTTGGTCGACGTCTCGCTACGTTGCCGTGAGGTCGGTGCTCCAAGCACACGCATGCATGTACCCGTCGAGGACGTTGGAGGGCGGGAACTTGCTGTCGAAGGACGTCGCGGCCGTCACTTGCGCTCCTTCGACGTCCAGCGCCAAGTCCATCGTCGCGAGAAACACAAAATAGCGCCCGTTTCACAGCCGAAAACGACAGTCCATGCGTTTCCCCTTGGATCTCACATACATGCTGCAGAGGCCACTAGGCTTTGTGGTGATGATGTTCAGGAGCAGCGCCAGTGCGATGCCAACAGCATGTACATCGAATGCAGGCTGTGTTAGATGGAAGGCGCCTCGCTGAGGTCAACGTTCCCAGATGCAGTGGCTTCGGTCGCGTGCGACGCGAGCAAGCGCTCTTCCACAGGCGCGGGCTCGGCAAGCTTGGCGGCGAGGGACTCGGTCGGGCAGTTCATCTCGTCGGCGGCATGGAGCTTCTGGACAATGCGCTTGGCGACGTCCAGCTCGACCTGCATGGCCTCGCGCTGCTCCATCTTGGCCGTGACGAGCCCGTCGCGCTTCGTGGCCCAGTCCTACGTACAGTGTCGATGAGACGGCGCGAGTGATGCTGGGTCGAGGCGACCTTTTCGCGGTTCAGAATCGCATCGACCAAGGATCGGCTCGTCCGCATATCCTTCTTGATGCCATGGATCTTGCGTTGAATGTCTTGAGGCGTGTGTTCCTCGTACTCCTCCATGGCGAGGCGCTCCAGGTGCCAGCCATTGAGGTGTCGGGCCTTGGGGTGCGTGATCTGGAGAATCTCCTTGAGGTCGTCTTCTTCGGTCCGTTTCTAGCCCACACAGAGCATGAGGCGACGGCTTCTAGGCACATGCATACGTCGAAGACGCGGATAAGATCTTGGATCTGTCCGCGAAGCTCGTCGGCGCCAAGGCCAAAGGTCAGTTGGAGCACTTGCTGCACGGCGTCGCCCGTCTCGGCTGCAGACATGGCCAATTTCGTTTTTGCCCAATCCCACCATGCCGAGATTGGTGATTGGCTAAAAATCAGGAATCGAGTTTTATAGTGTAAAGCGGACAGAAATAGTGTACGTTGCGAGGCAAAGCCGCCAGACACGTCGCGCAACGACGCCCTCGCACCGATTTCACATATCGAGAGTCCTTGTTGCCTCGACGCAATGTTCGTGGAGCTTAATGTTCCAAGCTACGGTCGCCACCTACCGATCCCCAAGCAAAAATCATGGGAGATCGACCGACCGCGTCCGTATGACTAGACTCGTCATCCAAGCCGTGGAAGGAAATTGCAGGCATTCATAAACAGCAGCTGCGTCTCCAGCCCGATGGTGTCCGGTCAGAGCGTCCGGCCAGCTACTTCTCCGAGCAGCTGAGCACATGCCGCTGGTAGCTTGAGTTCAAGGCGTCCGCGCTGCGAGACCTACCACGCATCCGTCATTTGCCTCGCCATGGACGTCTACCTGCGCCTTTGTTCTGACTGCCGGCCTCACGTATAGCTCTCACATTGGAGTTTGTACCGCCGCAGTATCTTGACCGCACGCCAATCTGGATCGTGATGGCGCGGACGTCGATGGAGCAAGGTCAAGTTGAAGTTCCGGCACACGCATCCATCCGGATGTCCGGTTGGGGATGAAAGATCGGGGAGGATCACATTTGCACGAGCGCACTGGCCCATGGAGCGAACGCCCGAGCCCGCCGTCTTGATCCACGGTGTGATCGTAGAGCTCTATTGCACAGTAAGCGCTGATAAGATCTTAGGACTCCTCGGCTGGGGCAAGCGCAAGCCGCTGTACAACTGGGGCCCCGACTACTGGCCCGTCGATGCGCTGGCGGCTGTGAATCCTAACTGCATCGTGGTCGACGTGGGCGTCGCATCATCCGACCACGACCGCGCGTGCGAGGTCTTCTACCAACTCATGGGCGGCCGCGTCGACTACGGCGAGATCCACGCCTTGGAGAAGCGTACCTCCCTTCCAACACTCGGTCGCTCACGTGGTCGTAGAGCACTACCGCTACGGCTACACGTTTGAGACGCCGTTGTACGCTGCATGGAGCGAGGTACTACTACAGTCGAATGCAGCAACGCCCATATATCAGAATGCTAGGACAACCCCGTGCACCTGATCGGTCACAGCTACGGCGCGACGACAGGTAGCGTACTCCACTCGACAATCGTATATCGAAACAAAGTAGCATTGGAGCTCTACCAGCTGATCTGCACCGACTTTTTCAACGTCGGCAGCAACCACAAGTGGGTCAAGAGCATCACGTCGATCGCAGGTCCTCTCAGCGGCGCGACGCTCGGTAGGATGCGCACCGGGTGCCATGTCTGACGCCTTTGCAGGCCACATGTGCGGTCTCGAGGCCGACGAGTCGATCAAGGCCGGTGGTATCAACCACATTGTCGGGTCGGCCATCTCGACGCTATGGAAGCTGCAACACCACTTCCCTTGGCTTGACAACCTCTACTCGATTCGCATGCCGCAGTGGCTCGGCTACTCTCAATGGTCGACCATCTACGACGTCAACAGCACGCCCATGACCACTGGCGACATGGGTTGGCATCGACTGCATGCAAATTGTGTCTCTGAATCCAGTCGTGCGTAGCGTCCTACTGCCTCCTTCCGTCGTCGCGCATGCGTCGCAACGGCGAGTTTGTGCACATGGACAAGGTCCACCTCGTGAGCATCGTGTCGCGCGATGACGCGCCTCCGTCGCCCCACTACCGCGACGTCGCTGCTGTTCTCGTTGTGCTTGTCTTGTGGCGCGCCGGCAAGGTAAGATGGTGCGGGCGTGCAATGGACGATGACGCTGCTGGTCTAGCTCAACAAGTGGCTCCTGGGGCTCGTCGGGCTCGCGGCGTGGCGGCGGTACCGGTCCTTTGACGCGGCGCAGATGCCGTTCCTCATGACGTTCTTCCTCCGCCGCCACGCGCACTCGATCGCGACGCCGATCTACGCCAGTACCGACAGCGCTTTTGGCTGTCGTCCTCGTGGGTATTGAGGCGACGCGTAGGTTTTGAAAAGGAGGAGTGGGCGGCCAATGACGGCGTCGTCAACACATACTCGATGCTGCGCCCGCGCTACTGCGAGACGTTTGCCGCAGACCCCGACTTGCCGCGCATTCCGTCGCACGTCTCGATCGACTTGGAAGAAGCGGCGACCGCGCTGCCGACGGTGCGAACTCCTGCAATTTCCACTGGAACGAAACAGAGTATGAACTAGGGGCAATGGCACGTCTACCGCGTGGCGAAGAACCATTTTTGCGGAACACGCTGGGACCGCGACGCCAAAGAGCTCTACACCAAGCTCTTTCGCCTTCTCAATGCGTCGCAGACACCGGGTCGCATCGCGTAAGCTCAAAGTTCTTTTACATTCCTAAAATTTGTGAATCCATTCCTTTCCTGAAACACCGACGTATTCCCAGAGCATATTTCACGTTGTGATTCTTGCGTCGGGGCACAACCGAGCGCAACTTCTCAAATTCAAACCGGCGATCTTGAAGGCACGCGGGAGTGTACACCGGGGTACACGTGCGTTGACACCCGGTTTATTCTGTGCCCCGGTGTATCAACGAGATTGAGAATTTTGTATGGCAGCTTTGCAAAGGTGTCGAACGGCGACTGCGACGACGGGCCCGATGGAGGTAGGCTTCCGCTCGATCGACGGACTTGACGATCTTCTCTTCTCCGGTAGCATGCAGCGCCGGAACCGTACCGCGCCAATAGAGCGTGGCTCAACGCCGTGACCAAGACGACGACAGGCAGCGAGGTCCCGCCCGAGGCCCCAGGACGGGACGTGATGCCCCCGCCCGCGACGCGGCCGGCGCCGGCCGCGCCCGTCCGAATCACGGCTGGTGACTCGCAGCACCGCCCGACAGATAACCCTGGTGACGTCAACTCGTATGAGTGGAAGCTGCGCGCGTACAAGATCGCGGTCAAGCGCAACATTCCGCTCGTCTCGCGCTGCAGCTTTATCCAGCAGGGGGCGTGCCACCTCTGCAACGGCACGGCCATCACGATGGTGGTCAACTTGTGCCCTCAGTTTGATTACTCGCACTCGATCTGCGTGCGGCACCTCGAGTCGGTTCTGAACGCGACGATGAACGATCTCTTGTGCGGGAAGGTCTTTCCGTGCCCCATCTGCGCCCACGAATGCCCGTGCGGCCTATGCGAGCGCCTCGTTGCCAAGGACTTTGAGTGCTACGAAGGCTGGGAGCAGTCGACCGACGCGAAGCGCGACGCCCGCACGCCGCCGCCGGCCTTGACGGCAATTCCGTCGGCAGCGGCCCTTCCGGCCTCAGCAGCGCCGCTTGCGACCGTGCGCACACTCAACGCGCAGCACATTCGCCCACTGGATGCGTACGCGCGACCGGCAGCAGCGCCAAAGATGGCAGCCAAGTCGACGGGGCGCATTGCACTCGCGCCACAGCCGCCTGTGGTGGATGTGGCCGATGCGAAGGAGCCTGTAAGCTACATGGCACCACCCAAGGTCGCGGCGAAGAGTCTTCCGCGCGTCTCTTCCAAGCAGCAAGTCCTCGAGGCCAAGACGCCGTCCTACCTCGAGTCGGACGCGATGCTCCGTGCCGACAGCAAGGACACGGGGCACGCGCCCCGGCAGCTCAAAACAGCCGCCAAGAGTCTTATGACTGCCGCGCAGCTCAAGGCACCTGCGTTTGTGCCGCCGCCGGCCCCGCCAATCCGCCATGCGCCGAGCGAAGACGATGACGCGACCGAGGTGTCTGCTGATGAAAGCGCGTCGACGTCGAGCGGCTCGGACGACGACGAGCCGCGGCTCAAGCCTGTCCGCTTCTTCCACGCGCGCACCGAGTTTGCTACAGAGAGCAAAGGCACGTTTGGCCCGGTCGTGACGGCTGCCGACGCCAAGTCGACGAGCACTGTCTCGGAGCACGGGTCGGCGAACGAAGCGTCGTCAGCCCTCTCGCCCGACGACAAGCCCGAGGCGAAAGAAGTGGCTGCGAGCTTGTCTGCAGACGTTGCAGAAGGTTTGGATGAAGACGACAATGACGTCCCGCTGCCGTCGCCGAATGTGTCGTCGGCCGCGGACGATGCGTCGATCGACGAAAACGTCAGCGCCATGGTGACGGATGAAGCCACGGATCTACTCAACATGCCATTGGACAACGAGTTGGTGCTGGACAAGAGTGACGACGCTGCGCCGGCATCACCGCCCCGCGACCAGCGCCCCGAGACTGCACTGGAGACGGCGGTACCGACTCTGGGCGACGCAGCTGCAACGGGGACCAACGAAGAGGACGATCCGGACAAAGTTGCTGCTGACGTTGTCAGTGCAACGGCTTCCACGAACCCCCCAATGTCGGTAGACCCTCCACTGCAAGTGGCCGTCGCGCCACCTGAACAAGAGCGCCCGTCAACGGCACCCAAGCAAGCGCTCCCAGCCTCGTCGCCAGAAAAGCAAGCCGCAACTTCCGCACCGTCGTCACCAGCGATTTCGTTGCCCACACGGACGCCGGCAGCTGCGGTCGGGCTCCCTACACTAGAGTCCCAGCAGACGGCTCCGGCAACCACCGCGGTCACGGCTGCACTGACACCGCCAACGCAAGAAACACCAGCAGCCCCACCACTGACGCCCCCGCAGGCGTCGCCGGCTGCGACCGTTGTGACGTCGCCACAGCAAGTGACGCAGACGCCGGCCTCTCCCGCACGAGTGGCGCCGCCGTCTTTGGCGGCCACGGCCGACGTATCGACGCCGATACCACCTCAGCAAGGGACGCCAGCTGCGACGCCCTCTCTTGTGCCAGCAGTGAAAGCGTCGACGCTGGCTTCTTCTCCAGACGCCAAAGCCGTATCTGCACCAGAATCGGCCAAATCAACCCCCGAGCCGGCAGCGCAACAACCGCAAGCAAAGCCCACCAAGAGCATTGCGCAGACATTATTCGCCGAGTTCATGGCTCCCGAGCCTAGCGTCAAGACGCGCGCGCAGCGCCAGGTAGCACCGCCGCCGGTCAAGCAGACACGCTCGGCCGCCGCGGCGCGTGACGCGCCCGCCGCGAAGCGCGCCAAGACGGAGGAGTCGGCGCCGGCAAAGCGTCCGTCGGTCGACTCGAACACTGCACCGGCCAAGCGCGCGCGGGGTGCTGAGCCCAAGGCGCCGCCGACGCCCGAAAGCGACAGCGACGATGAGGACATGGAGGATGACGACGACGACGAGCTGGACGCGAACCTCGACTACTGCACCATCTGCAAGGAAGATGGCGACCTCGTGTGCTGCGACAAGTGCCCGCGATCGTACCACCTCTTGTGCTTGAACATGAGCGACGACGACCTTCCGGAAGGCGACTGGGAGTGCGCCGAGTGCACGGGCCACCAGAACGACATGCGTTTTGACGCTGTCCTCAAGGGTCGCGGCGCCAAAAAAAAGGTAGGGGGACGAACCGTGCACTCGATATTACTGTTGGTGTAGAGCAAGGCGATGGAGATTGTGCTCGCGGCGCTGACGACGCACCAGTTTGCCAAGCCGTTTATGTCGCCCGTCCAAGGCATCAAGGGCTACGACAAGATTGTCAAGAAGCGCATGGACCTCGCGACCGTCCAGCGGCGCCTCACGCAAGGCGAGTACGACAAGAACGTCGGGTTTGATAAGGCGTTTCTGGACGACCTTGCGCTCATTTGGGACAACTGCTTGGCCTTCAACGAGCTCGGGTCGGGGCTCTACCGCGCCGCCGTCCACCTCCGCGACCACGTCGCTGCGCTCATTGCCAAATTCGAAGCGCTCCACAACAGCTAAGATCTAAGATACCGACAGAGGATGGGAGGTATATATATTTGCAAAAACACGCCCGCGTCTACTACATGGTGGTGGGTTGGATGTCTGCCATAGATTAGTGTCGCCAGCTACAAGGACAAGATGAGCTTTCCTGCTGCGAGAGGCAGTTGTGTACATTTTGATGGTGCGGTCCTTGCTGCCCGACGCGACCTTTTGGCCGTTGGGGCTCCAGTCGAGCGCGTAGACTTCGTCGGCGTGGCCCGAGAGCGTCTCCTTGGCGTTCTTGGGGTCCGCGAGCTCCCAGACCTTGACGGTCGAGTCCTTGGAGGCCGAGACAATGAGGCGCGAGTCGCTCGACCAGCACACTTGGTACACGGCGCCGACGTGGCCGTTAAGCGTCGCGATAAACTTGCCCGTCGCGCCGTTCCAGATCTTGACCTTCTTGTCAAACGACGCGGACGCAAAGTACCGACCGTCGGGCGAGAACGCAAGGTCGTTGACCGGCTGCACGTGGCCCGTGAGGCGCTCGATCGGCTTCTTGCTCTCGGCGGGCTCCCACAAGAAGAGCGTAAAGTCGTCCGAGCCCGACACGAGGCGCTCGGGCTGGCCGCGGCGAATGGCGTCGTACCGAGTTTGGGCCGCGGCCTGCATCTCTTCGCGCGTGTCGAATGTCTTGAACGTGTGGTCGAACGGCCCCGTGCGGCAGACGTAGTCGACGTTGAGCGCCAGCGTGTTGATGCGGTGCGCGTGGCCGACGAGCGTGCGCACGAGCTTGCCGACGTGGTCGCCCTCGACGGCCCACACCTTGATCGTGCGGTCCCGCGACGCAGAGTAGAGGAGGCCTTCGCCGCCCCACTTCAAGCACTCGACCGAGTCGGTGTGTCCCGAGAGCGACGCGACCTGGCGGCCCGTGCGCGCGTTCCAGATCTTGATCGAGCCGTCCTTGGATGCACTGGCAAACCGCTCGCACGTCGAGTTGCTACAGAGTATCAGATGACCATGCAGATCGAAAGGAAGATGGTACCGGTGGATGGGCTCCCACGAAAGCGAGTTGACCCACTGCTTGTGACCCTTCATGGGCTCGCCCTGCTGCTTGCCCGTCGAAGGGTTCCACATGCGGATCTCGCCCGTCTTGTCGGCCGAGATGAAGCGCGTACCGTCCGGCGACCACGCCGTGCAGAGCACGTGGTGCTTGTGACCGCGGCACGTGTGCTGGGGCATGCACGTGTTGGTGTCCCAGAAGCGCACGGTGGCGTCGCCGCCGCCACTCGCGAGCTTCTTCCCGTCCGGGCTAAAGCTCACGTGCAAGATGGCCTCGGCGTGGCCCTGGAGCGTGTCCGTGCAGCGCGTCACGGGGCGCACGCGGAAGACCGCGAGCGGCTGGAACGTAATGTTGAGCACGACTTCGGTCGAGATTTTCTAGGAGAGAGCAGCATGAGCGATGAATGCAGTTCAATATGGCATCGTACCTGGCTCTCAACGCTCGCTTGCAGGTTGTGCGTGATCTCATTGTCGTTGATAAACATCGAGTACGGGACCTTGTTCTTGCCGTTCTGGAGGAGCTGGTTCACGAGCTCTTCCATCTGCGCGACCGTCGACGTGAGCGGGATGTCGAGCTGCGGCCCGACGGGCTCGCCCTGCTCGTTCTTGAACTGCGCAATCACGGACGCGACCTGCTCGTCGTCGTCGTCGCTACCGCTGTCGTCGCCATGCGCGTCGAGCTTGGGCTTCTTGGTCGCGCGGACGTCCTCCATCGTCGTATCCAGTTTTGAGGTTCAACTGCCCGCGCTGCCCGCTCTTATTGGTTGGTTCGCAACATCCACCAATCAAAACCCAATTCGGCACATGCCGAAATGAAAGAGCATCGACCATCATTCGCCTCGGCTTTGCTCGCCGAGCGTGGACACCAAGCGAGTACGACCTGGCTGGCGCAACATGCATGCCTCTGTACGATGTGGGTTTCTTCCTGTGGCATCACGATCGTGAAAGGTTGCGTTTGTCACCGTTGTGACTCCAGGCTGCCGAAAATAAGAGTGATAGAGATGGCATGTGCCGAACGTTCAAAGCCCCACACTAAATCCCGCTTGGGCGCGAGTTTGATTATCCGGCGCGGGGTATTTTGGGTTTTGCCGCGCAGCCGAGGACGATGAAGCGAGGGTTCTTCCAGCGCGAGGAAGCGTGCAAGGCCACGACCAAGCGCCGGCGTGACCGCGCCTACCCCATCGGTACGCTCCTTCGCCGAGGCGTCCGAGGCTAGCAGAGCCTCGAGCGGCAGTCTTGGCGGCGACGACGTCGACGCTCATCAACGTGGCCGCTCTAGATGCACTCTCTCGCATGATGTGGGAGTCTACCATTGGCAAGAAGAAGGCGGGCGACATGTCGTCGTTGCGCGGCGCCACGTGCTACCACTGCGAGCGGGCCATGGCGTCGGGCGAGAACTATTGCGTCGGCTGCTCCAACGCGTTCTGCGGCGAATGCTCCACCATAAAGTACGTGCGCACGCCTGCATGGGCTAATGCGTTCTATGGCTTCTGAGCGAATACTGCTGCTGTGTAGTTATTCCAAGGCGTACGACCGCGTTTTTTGTCTCGACTGTCCCCAAGGCGAGTGATCGTGCTCGTCGGTACCCGTAGCCTCCACTCGTCTATGTTTTAACCCTTTTTGTCATCCGTTCCTATCATGTTCATCATCTTCTCCAGGCTTGGCATAGCTGGCGCAGCGAGAGGCAAGCGGGGTTTGCAGCCTTCCCTCAACGACCACGATTCACGGCAATCCCGACTAGGTTCGGATCGCAGTAGATACTATTTAAGTGCGCCTCTACTAGATACGCTTTTTCATTTAAGTACGGCGTACCTACATAGATGCGCGCGAAAGCGCGATCTTGGTCAGTTGCAGATTTGCCGGCCGGACGATGGAGCTCAGGACGTTACTCGGCGCGAAGCTCGCCGCTTGCTTCCCCTTCGCGACGATGAACAAGGTGCAGGAGCGCGTGCTTCCACCGGCGTTCCAGACCCACGACAACATGATCGTCGCAAGCCCGACGGGGTCGGGGAAGACCACGGTCATGGAGATCGCGCTCCTTCGCCACATGAACATGGTGGCGAGGAGCCCTTCGACGACGCACGGCAAGGTACTCTACCTCGCCCCCATCAAGGCGCTACTGCATGAGAGGTACCATGGTCGCTCCTCCATCAACATGTCGTCCATGGGCGTCGAAGGCTCGAGGACTGGGAGGCTCGCTTCGGAGGCTTTGGCGTGCAATTTTGCGAGCTCTCGGACAACAACGACACCTCTGCCAGCGTTGCTCATGCCGATGTTCTTCTTAGCACGCCCGAGAAGGTAGGGTTCTGCAGGGCACTACGTTTTTATGTCCTTGAACGCAGTGGGACGCATTTACCCGGCATTCTAAGGTACAATGGCCCCAATTGGCACTCTTTGCTGCAGCACCTCGTGCATATAGGAAGCCTTGAACTGTGTCAGCCTGCTCATGGTCGATGAAATCCACAATGTTGCCGACGCTTCCCGCGGGGCGACGCTCGAGGCTCTCGTGACGCGCATGCTGCATGCGTCGTCGCTGTGCCAGCTTCATGGAAACAAGCAGTCCGCACCGATTTCCAGTTTGTACGAAGCTATTGAGAGACAATCCTTTGGCTGAGCTAATGTGGGCTAGGCGCATCATTGCACTCTCCGCAACGTGCCCCAACGTTCTCGACTTCGGCGTTTGGCTCCGCTGCCCGCGAAACATGATCTTTGAGGTACCACATTTCGCTTCGTTGCGACGTGTACTGATTTTACGGGCGTGCGCAGTTTGGCGCTTACTATCGACCAGGTTTGTGTATCCAAGTATATGCATAACCTCACTGCGAAATCTAGTTCCCCTGAAAACTCACGTCGTCGGAATCAACTGCTACGGCAAGCCGTTCATGCTGGACAAGTCGTCGCGAGCCTATTCAAGGCGGGATGCTGATGCTTCTAGTAGGTACATGGATGACCAAGTACCTCGCCTCGTCAAGCAGTACTCGAATGGCAGACCATCCCTCATCTTCTGCTCGTCCCGCAAGTCGGCGTGTGCCCTTGCAACGTACAGCAGAGCCTGATTGCCTACCCACGATGCCTCAACTTGAACTTCTAGAAAACTGGCCAGCGAGAACACGACAATCATGCGCCCATCCATCAAGCAGGTACGAGTGGAATGCAATATGTGGCTGTTTTCAATCGATGCAAGTAGAAGCTGGCAGATGCATGCTTGCACGTGGGTGCATAGTTCATGTCCTACAGTATGCCAAACCACTTGGTTGACTCGAATTGCAGCTTCAAAACGAAACGCTGCGCAATGTCATTCAGTGTGGCATTGGCTTTCACCATGCGGCTCTCAGCGAAAGTGACAAGTACCGTCCAATATGATTTCGAAGCTTATCGCGAGACGTAGGCACACGATTGAAGGGCTCTTCGTGGAAGGGCTGCTTTCTGTCCTTTGGCATGTGTGCGTGAGCCTAGATGATGAACTCACACTCTATTAGCTCGACGAGCTCACTTGCCGTGGGCGTTAACCTGGTACGATTCCATCATGCAGCATCGCATTCATATTGCACAGCCCGCGCATCTCGTGATCATCAAGTCGACCCAAATGTACCAAGGCGGTACCAGCGGATATCAAGAGTACACCCAAGCCAGCATCGTGCAGATGCTCGGTCGCGCTGGGCGCCCTCGCTTCGACACGTATGCGACGAGTACATTTTGCTTGATCCTGAGGCTTAACATTCCCACAGGTCTGGCACTGCTGTCATCATGACAACTTCACAGAAGCAGCACTACTACGAGGCGATGCTCAAGTACGCCCAACTGCGTTTTTGTCACCGGCTGAACACCTTTGTAGGCATCCCGACACATCACCGCTGGAGAGCTCGCTGCTGCCGGTGCTCGCAGACGTACTCAATTGTGAGATTGCGCTTGAGACGGTCTCAGATGCGTCGCAAGCGATCGAGTGGACAACGGTTCGGGTTCGTATATTTGACGTCACTTTATGTCTATTCGGGCTAGCGCTCATTCATGCACACACGGTCACAAAGCCCTCTGCCGTCGGCGTCTCAGAAGCCGCATCCTTGCTCAAAGATTGTGACCATGCAAGCCATTGCGCACCTTGCCAACTCGGGTCGTCTCGCGTACGAAGACGATTTGTTTGCTTTCTCTTGCACCGAAGTCGGGCATATCCAGAGCTTGCAGTGCTTGAAACACGACTCAATGTCCGCCATCATTTCAGCTTTCGACGAGCCGGTGTCAACGACGAAGCTCCTCGACTTGGTCGCATCTGAGGCCCGTGTGCCTCTACGCCGCGGCGAGAAGACGCTTTTGACGCGTATGAATGACACGCGGCTCCGGTTCCGCCTCATTGGCGCCAACGGCAAGCCGGCGATTCAGGACGACGTGATGAAGACCAACCTGCTTCTGCAAGCTTGCCTCGGCCACATCGACGTCGGTGACGACGTACTCGTCATGGAAACCCAAGCGTCGCTCGAGACTGCTGAGCGCGTAGCGCACGCTGCGCTCGACTACGCCTTTGCTCGCAGCGCGGGACGCGAGTCGCTCACTTGCTACCTGCTGTGGCGCTCTCTGCGCCTTCGCTTGTGGGAAGATGCGTCCGGCTGCCTCGGGCTCCAGCAGCTGGATGTCGTTTCTGCCTCCGATGCCAAGCGCCTCGACATTTGTGGCGTACACAACCTGCGCCAACTGCAGCAAGCGTCGGTCGGGTCAGTCCAAAACTTCCTCGGCTGTTCGACCGAGCATGCGATCAACATCTACGAGGCTGCAGCGGCCATTTCAAGCTTCCGCTTGCGCCTCGCCTTTCACGTGGGCAACGCGGTTGGCGGTGGCCCGGCGGGCTCACTCGAAGTCGTTGTCGAGCCAGAGCCCAGCGGGCGCGCCGTGCACAACCTCACGCAGAAGCGCGATGCTTATGACCTTTTTGTGCTCTGCGAGAGCACGCTACTCCTCTTGGAGCCTTCCATTGGGGCACCGACGTCGTTTGTCGTGCACTTGACGGACGAGACGAAGACTGCTACGCTGTCCGCCCACCTCCTCCATGCCAGTCTCATCGGCATGGACGTCAACGTCGAGTGGCGCCACGCCAAGACCGTTGTCAAGAAGAAGGTCTATCAGTCCACGATCCCGCAGAACTTTCTCCGCGACAGCGTCATGGCCAAGCCAGCGATCCGTTGCGAGCCGACTTCGCCTCCTCGCGCACAGGAGCCCGCATCGGCGCCCCTGGACTTGAGCCGGTTCAAGTTCTCGGCGACGGCACCTACGCAACACCCTACTCCAAAGGTGTCGCCGAGCGCTGCCAAGACTTCGGTCCCCATCGTTCACGTCATCCCACCCGAGCCCACCAACCGCCGTGGCAAGAAGCGCCGGTTCCAGGCCTACGACCATAGCGAGCTCAGCGCGCTCGAACTCGAGTTTATCAATGACATCTACTAAGACGATGTGCGATGCGATATGTTTTGGTGAACACAACGCGCGCAAACGGTTTGCGCGAATGATGGTCTTTAAAGCCATCACTCTCGGAGCGTTTTTGCCCGCGAATATTTATACGACAGGTCGAGCGCAGTCCGCAAGTGCCCACCATGAGCAAGCGCCAGCAGTCCATCATGTACGCACCGAATGCATCTCTTCGGCGCGTGGTATCTCATGCGCACGGGCCTAGGTCGTTCTTCGGCTCCAAGCCTGCCGGGGACGAGCCAGCCGAGGCGCCCAAGGCCAAGCCGGCGCCGGCAACACCTGAGGCCAAGCAGCCGTCGACGAAGAAGCCGGCGTCAAAGAAGGCGACGCCCGCCAAGGAAGAGGCAGCGCCCAGGAAGAAGAAGGTGGACGAAGCGTCTGCAGCGCCTGGTACGCGCCGCCAATGACGAGCTTGTACCAGTTTCTTGTGTGGCATAGGCCGCAAGCGCTTGAAGCGCAGCGTCGTCGACGATGATGATGATGACGATGATGACGACGATCCGTTTGCGTACGCACACGCGCAGTATCCCTTTAGAGAACTAAGCATCATTGATAGGGCCAAGAAGGTGCCTGCAAAGAAGGCGGTGGCCGAGTCGGACGAGGAACAAGAAGACGAGGCAATGGGCATACAAGAGGACGAAGTCGTGGCTGCTAGCAACGTCGAGTCAGACGAAGATGTCGAAGCGCCCACGAAGGCTGCGACGCCCAAGAAGGCTGCGACGCCCAAGAAGGCTGCGACGCCCAAGAAGGCTGCGACGCCCAAGAAGGCTGCGACGCCCACGAAGGCTGCGACGCCCAAGAAGGAACCTGCGACCACGGAGTCAAAGGCGGCAGACGAAGAGACCGACAAGTACCGTTTCATCCGACGACCTCTTCTGACACGTGCGTAGAAAGCCAGCCGACGAGTCCTCGAGCGGATTCTTTGCCAAGAAGACCGAGATGCCCAAGAAGGAGTCCACGGCGACTCCAGCCAAAGCCTCGTCAACGGCTACCATGTACCAATTGCGTCGATACCATTATATCAGCTCACTATCGACGTAGGGGCGACGTCACTGGGTACAAGGAGAAGGAGAAGGACCCCAAGAAGCGCGGTGGCTGGAAAGCTGGGGATGCCGTCCCGTACGCGGCGCTTGCGCGTGTGTTTGCGCTTATCGAAGAAACCTCGGGCCGGTACGCTCTCTGCAACACGTTTTGCGTCACGTTTTCTTTCTAGTCTCGTGATCCAAGACACCTTGGCCGACTTTCTCCGCAGCGTGATTGAGCTTACGCCGTCCGAGCTCGTGCCGTGCATTTACCTCTGCGTCTGCACCGAGCTCGCGCCGGCGTACGAGAACGTCCAGATTGGCATCGGCGATGCGATTCTCATCAAGTCAATTGGCGAAGCCACGGGCACGAACGCCAAGTTTGTGAAGGAGCTCTATCAAAAGGAAGGCGACCTCGGCAAAGTCGCGCTCAACGCCCGCTCCAAGCAGAGCACGCTCTTTACATTCCAGAAGCCCAAGCTCCTCTCGGTGCAGAACGTCTACTCGGACATGGTCAAGATTGCCCGTATGACGGGCAACAACTCGCAAGCGAGCAAGTGCTCGATCATCAAATCACTCCTCGTGCGCTGCGACAAGACGTCCGAAGAGGCCAAGTACGTCATTCGCGGCCTCCAGGGCAAGCTGCGCATCGGCCTTGCCGGCCAATCGATCCTTATGGCCCTCACACAAGCCTTTCTCCACGTCAAGGAAGCCAACGACAAGCTCAAGCAAGCGGTATCCTAGTATCTCATTTGACTACCGAAGCTAAGCCATGCTGCTGCAGGAAGCGCTCAAGTGCGTCAAGCGCGCGTTCTCGGAATTTCCCAACTACGAAACACTCGCAGCAGCGCTGCTGACGATTTTTGAGCGCGAGAACGGCGGGAAGGGCCTCCACGCTCCGCAGTTTGAAGAGCTCGCGGTCATGTGCCACCTCACGCCGGGCGTGCCTGTCTCGCCGATGCTCGCGCGGCCAACCAAGTCGTACGCGATGGTCCTCGATCGGTTCCAGGACCAGCCATTTACGTGCGAGTACAAGTACGACGGCGAGCGCGCGCAGATCCACATCCTCGAGTCGGGCGAGATTAGCATCTTCTCGCGCAACTTTGAAAACAGCACCGAGCGCTTTCCCGACGTCAAGCTCAGCATCCTCAAGGTACGCTCTAAGAAATATGCAAATCTTATGCACGTGTGTAGGCGGCGCGAAAGAACAACGTGACGAGCTGCATCGTCGACGCCGAGGTCGTCGCTGTCGACAAGACGACGAACCAGCGCCTGCCGTTCCAAGTGCTCAGTACTCGCTCCCGCAAGGTATTTCACTGCAGTCGCGTGACGCTGCTTCTCACGCCAAGTATAGAACGTTGTCCTGAGCGACATCAAGGTCCAAGTGTGCATCTATGCGTTCGACGTTATCTACCTCAACGGCGAAGTACAATGATTTATCCCAAGTCGACGACTCCTAGCCACGTTTCTGTAGTCGCTGCTCAAGGAGCCGCTCCGGAAGCGCCGTGAGATCCTCGAGACCATGTTCGAGATTGAGGACGGCTCGTTTGAGCTCGCGACGTCGCTCAACGTCGCCAACACGAAAGAGGACGACATGGAGACGACCGTTGAGATCGTGCGCAACTTCCTCGAGGAAGCCGTCAAGGGCAACTGCGAAGGCCTCATGGTCAAGACCCTCGAGAAAGAAGCCACATACGAGCCGGCCAACCGCTCCCACAAGTGGCTCAAGGTACGCTCCACTTGTCCGCTTTGTCGTTGCTCACGCATGATGTAGCTCAAGAAGGACTATCTCGATGGCATCGGGGACTCGACCGACCTCGTGCCCGTCGGGGCCTTCTACGGCAAGGGCAAGCGCACGGGCGTCTACGGCGCGTACCTCCTCGCGTGCTACGACCCCGAGACCGAGATGTACCAGTGCATCACCAAGCTCGGGACGGGTCTCTCGGACGAGGTCCTCCAGCAGTTTTACACCCAGTTCAAGGACAAGACGATCGATAAGCCGCGCAACGACTACGAGATCAACGACACGATCAAGCCGGACGTGTGGTTCGAGCCCAGCACGGTTTGGGAGATCCTCGGCGCCGACCTCTCGATCTCGCCCAAGTACACAGCCGCGATCGGCCACGTCGCCAAGGACAAGGGCATCTCGCTGCGCTTCCCGCGCTTCATTCGGCTGCGCGAAGACAAGAAGACGACGCAAGCCACGACAGCCGCCCAGATCGCCGACTTGTACCGCGCGCAGGGCCTCAACACGACCAACGACGGCGGCGACAACGACGACGACGACCTCTTGTGAACCCTTGTATGATACAACCCAAGGAGCTACCCAAGATACTGCAATCTCGAGTCTTCTGAAAATAAGATCTGTCCGGAGCATCCGGATACGAGCAACTTCAACGTGAACTGCAACCGTCGACGTCGCGAGCATCACGAGGCGAGTTGGCGCACGAGGCAGGCATGGGCACGGGTGAAAAACTGACGGCTTTTAGTCGGTTAAACGTTTAGCGTCCCTGCGTGCACCAGACGCGCTGTTTTATGCCGACAAAAACGCGCTGCATAAACCTGCAAGGAGTTTTACCCGACAGGCGTTTTTTGCGTCACTTGGACAGTTACCAAAAAGCATGGAGCGCACAAAGCACCCGGCGGTCTTGATCCACGGTACGAGGATGAGGATCATGCGATCGACGACGTAAGGTTGACGCGGGTATGTGAAGGTCTCTTTGGCTGGGGCAAGCAGACCCCGTTCTACAACTGGGGCCCCAACTACTGGCCGGTCAAGGACCTCGACGCTGTCAACCCCAACTACGTCTTGGTCGAAGTCGGCGTCGCATCGTCCGACCACGACCGCGCCTGCGAAGTCTTCTACCAGCTCATGGGCGGCCGCGTCGACTATGGTGAAGCGCACGCGATCGAGAAGAGTACGATTGCTCGCAGCACTCCATGGATGATGACGGCGATGGCGTAGAGCATGCGCGGTACGGCAAGACGTACGCGACGGCGCTGCATCCCACGTGGAGCGCCGCCAACCCCGTGCACCTCTTTGGCCACAGCTACGGCGCAACGACAGGTGCGTACGTTATCTCGCTTCCGCCATAGTTCACATGGTCTAGCGCTGGAGCTCTACCAGCTCATCTGCACCAACTACTTCCACGTCGGCAGCGACTACACGTGGGTCAAGAGCATCGTGTCGATCGCGGGTCCGCTGAGCGGAGCAACCATGAGTAGGCTTCTGTGCCCTTCCCATGGACTGACAATGTATGGGCGTAGGCCACATGTGCGGGCTCCGGGACGACCTTACGATCGAGGCTGGCAGCATCAACCATCTCCTCTCGATCGTCGTCTCGACGCTCTGGAAGCTCCAACAAGTGTTTCCGTTCCTTGAGAATGTCTACCCGATCCGCATGCCGCAGTGGCTCGCCTACTGCCGCTGGTCGACAATCTTCTCGGTCAACAACATGCCGCTCAAGACGGGCGACAGCGGTATCTCAACCATTTTGCAGATTGTTCTGTCGCTGCATGCTAGCCTGCGTAGCGTTTGACTGTCTCCTTCCGGCCTACCGCTTCGCCCGCAACAGCCAGCTTGTCCACATGGACAAGGTGCACCTCATGAGCATCGTGTCCAAAGATGACGAGACGACGTCGCTTCACGTCGTTGACGTGGCGGGACTGCTTCTCATTGCGCTCTTGTGGCGCCGGCGCCAGGTACCCGCGTTCGACTACCATAGCAGGCGCCGACGAATCTACGATGCAGAAGCACAAGTGGCTCTTGGGGCTCGTCGCCGTCGTGATGCTACAGCGGCTGCGCTCCGTGGACATTGCCAAGCTGCCGTTTGTCCTTACGCACATTCTGCGGTGGCACGCGACGACAACGTCCAAGCCGATCTACGAAGGTACCGCGTCGCAAGCCACTCCGTGTAGCTCTCAACATTGTATGCTAGGCTTTGAGAAGGACAAGTGGGCGGCCAACGACGGCGTCGTCAACACGTACTCGATGCTGTGCCCGCGCTACTGCGAGACGTATCCCGCGCAGAGCAGCATGCCCAAGCAGGACATTGCGCGCATCCCGTCGCACGTCTCGATCGACATGAGCGACCCGGTGCAGGTCCTTCCCACGGTACGTTCTCTCAACTCTCTCGCTTGCTGAGTGCGGGTAGGGCATGTGGCACGTGTACCGTGTGGCGAAGAACCACTTTTGCGGCACGGCCGGCGACCGCGACGCGCGAGAGCTCTACACCAAGCTCTTTCGGCTCCTCAACATGGCCAAGGAAGGCTAAGACAGGACTTGTGCAATATAGTACAAATACGACCGGCTATGGCGACTCGGTGTCCGAGTCCCGACTGCTACTACTGTCAGTAGAGGACAAGGCTGCGTCATGGGCGTAGTGCTGGTTGAGGATGCGGAAGAGGTTGATGTACAGCGCCTTGGCTTGCCCGTCAAAGTGTGTGCCGCACAAGTGGTTCTTCTCGAGATGGTACGTGTGCCAGCGCCCGCGCTGGAGCTCGCCGTCGTCTTGGCAGTGCTTTTCAATATCGATCGAGAGATGCGACGCCGACCGACTCGGCGCCTTGTCGTCGTCCTTTGGCGCGTCCGGCCCATCGACCCGCGGGTACAGCTGTGAGTACGTGTTGACGATGCCGTCGTTGTGCACCCAGTGGTCGCTGTTGAAGCCTGCATCTCCATGAGTTTGAGATCCCAAGAAAAAGTGTCGAGCGCACCGTCGTAGAGCGCGTCTTCGCCCATCTTTTCGGTGCGCTTGCGGATGAGCCACATGAGGCCCCAGAGGCTCGTGCGGGCTTTGGAGTAGTCGAGGCGCTGCAGCCGCGACCAGACGAGTGCGAGCACCGTGAGGCAGAGCGAGCAGCGCGTGATGCGCGTCGGCCAGAGCTTCTTGCGCCGGTAGAGCAGCACGACAAGTGCCAGTCCAAGCGCCCACTCGCGCAGCTACAACACATGTGGATACGAGCGTCGTGGAAAACGGCGGCCTACAGGCACGTGGTGCTGGTCCTTGGCGTTCGTGACGATGCTGAAGAGGTGGACCTTGTCCATGTGCACGAGCTGCTTGTTGCGCTGGACGCGGTAGTCTGGCAAGAGATCGTAGAGCGCTAAGAAGAGTGCATCAGTCGCTCGCACTAGCTGGCCGCATCAACCGAGGTCCTTGCTCGTATGGACGCGGTTCGTCGTCGAGTAGAACATGTCCCAGCCCGTTTGGTTCATCCACTGGTCGAGGCCGAGGTCGTAGATGCCCTTGAGCCGCGGACAAAGAAAGTTCTGCACCTTCCACCAGAGGCCAATGCCCATGACAGCGACGTGGCCGCCGCTGAGCACTGGCATCGGACGCACGAGGTCGGCGCTCATGAGATTTGTCAGCGTCGACCTGCCTCGTTCGATGAGCCTCCGTGGAAGAGACGACGACATACCCCGTGAGTGGCCCCGAGATGCTAATGATGCTTTTGACCCACGTGTGGTCGCTGCCAACGCCGAACGCGTCTTGACACAGCAACTGGTAGAGCTCGATGGCTACACGTTGATGAGCTACTGCTAGTCAAGACATGAGAGCCACCTGTCGTCGCGCCGTAGCTGTGACCGAGGAGGTGCACGGGGTTTGCGCTGCTCCACGTCGGATGCATGGCCGTCTCCTTGGGGTACGTCGCGCCAAAGCGCAAGTGACCTGCCACCAGCATCAACACGGTGTTGCCAGGTAGAGAACGGCTGTGTACCCATCTTGCACGAATGCTCCTCGCCGTAGTCGACTTGACCGCCATAGACTTGGTAGAACGCTTCGCACGCGCGATCATGGTCTGAGGACGCCTTCCCGACGTCAACGATGTGGTGGTTCGGGTTGACCTCGTCAAGCGCCTTCACGGGCCAGTAGTTGGGCATGTAGCCGTACAACGGCGACTTGTTGCCCCATCCAAAGACGCCTGCACATACAGCGCGTCAACCTTCGTCGTAGAGCTCCATGCTCACAGTACCGTGGATGAAGATGACCGGGTCACGCGTCGCTTCCATCTCTTGCTGCCCGCTGATGATGTTGCACTTTGCATTTCACATACGGCGGATACCCTACTAAGTGCGATATGTAAGGGCGTCGATCCGTGCGGTTTTATACCAGGAATATAGCGTACTTAAACGAGATTCCACACCTGCGTGTGACAGTGTGTGACACATGTAGGTGTGAAACAAGAAATAGTGTTCGTCAGTCGACGAGCTGCCCCGTTCGACTGTGACCTTACACCTTACACCATCAGCGCATCCATTAGAGAAGGCACGTATGAACGCAATTTTCCTATGCGATCGGGCAGCTTCTCCAAGTGACTCCGAACAAGGCGATCTTTGCATATCTTCACACTATTAAGTGTCTGACTACGTAAGCATCATACTAACCTCTAACGTGACATCAACATACCTGCGAGACTGGATGGTCCGATCGATTCTAACAGGTTTTGCAATTGGCCAACATGAGCGATGGTATGGCCGAGCTCGGCTTCAACGACGTCCCGCGCGGCCACGTCCTCTTGGTCAACGACGTCGTCGAGGCCAATGGCTGCTTCCTCCTCCACCATCTGACGTCCATGGCTGTGCGAGCAGGTAGGTCAAGCACCGCCCACCATCTTTGACGCCATGCGGCTAGAGCAACGGGTATGCATGCTCGCCCTCAGCAACAGCGTCGAGCAGTTTACCAGCGTGGGCCGCAAGATGGTACGCCCTGCTGTGGTCCCATGTTCGACGTCTGTATCTGAGCGCAGGGCGTCAACGTGCAAGCAGCAATTGCACGCCAGCGCTGGCTGCACATCGATGGCTTCTCGCGCCCGTACGACTGGTGCGTTACGGCGCCGACCGACGGGACGTTCAGCATGGCCAGCGCAGACACGCCCAGCGACTTGCAGGCGCTCTACCTGCGTGTCCAGTCGTATGTGGCCACCGAGGCTTGCGTCATTGTGATCGACGACCTCACCACGCTGGCGGCGTTCTACGGTGTACCGGCGGCACTCACGTTTGTCCGCTACTGCCGCCACCTTGCTCTCACAACCGAGGTATCGAGCTCTACTGGGATTCGTGTGGCTTATAAGACTGTCTAGTCGACCTTGCTCATGCTCATGCACGGAGACGTCGACTACGAAGACCATGTCACGTCTTTTGTACGTAGCAGGGCCATCTTCCGCGTCTAAAAGCTGTTAGATTCCCGCCGTGACAGACTTGGCGTCGACGGTCCTCACGGTGCGCGGCCTCGAGAGCGGCTACTGCAAAGACATCCATGGCTCGGTACTCGTCGCACGTCGTCGTCTCGGCAATACCTCCACATGTGCATAGGTGACCGTCACGCCCCGGCAGCAGCCCGCATGTCGGCCCGTCATCTCGATGGTGGCCAAGACGCTGCAGTTCAAACTCGTCGAGTCGGGCATGCGCTCGATCCGCGCCGGCCTCGATGTTTAACCGATGTTTAACTCCAATTAACAAAAATAGTGAAAAAAGGCGCAGACGAGGAGGAATCGAACCCCTGCCACGCTAATGGCCCACGGTTTTGAAGACCGCGCCCGGCACCAGCCAGGATCACGCTTGCATGATGAGCCCGACTTCTTGGGTTCCTATTAAAATATATCACTTGATTTCTTACCAGATAAGATCTGCTATGACAATGTAGCATGATGCAAGCGCCGTCATCGCGTTCGAGCAACGAGGGCGGAGATCGCAGTCGCCAAGGAACGTTATTCGAATCGCTGGCGTGCTGGACTTTATGGCTAATACCTCCTCACTGCGGTGTACGAGCGGTATTACCTCAAAGCATAGACAGGACGCACTTCCTCTGGAAGCGCCGCTTGCGGAGGTCGCGGTGTTCGCGATCAAATCGCGAAGTGTTGCAGCCAGTTTTCTACCAAGTGCAAGGGTGACCACGTGACTCACATCATATCGCTCAATGATTGGCTATAAAGATGGCGTTTCACATTTTCGCGTGATGTGATTGGTCCTGCACGAAAAAGCCGCTCGCAGGATGCCATCTCGCCCAAAGTGCAAGATGATACGCCGCGCAGTCGTCCTCGCCGCGCTCGTCGCAGCATGCGATGGTGTCAACTACTCGATCAACGGCTGGTACCAGTGCAGCCTCAACTCCGAGTTCACGCCCGACGAGGCGTCGTCCACGGTGGCCGCCGACACGTCCCGGGCCTTCCTGCCCAACCGCCCGCCTACCCCGTGGAACCGGCACTTCGATTTCAAGCTCGACGCGCTGGACGACTACTTTGCCGCAAACAAGAAGATCAAGCCGTCCCAGACCGTCGTGCCCGAGTGCGCCGAGGTCCAAGTACCGCTGTGCCACACGGGTCTTTGCACGTCGTCCAAGCTCATCGAGTCGTTCGTCAAGCGCATTCCGGCCTCGAGCAGCCTGAGCGGCAAGAAGGCTCTCTTTCTCTTGCAAGGCGGCCCTGGCGCATCGTCAGTCAACAGTACTACTACATCGAGCTGCGTCCCAGACGTTAATATGTGCGGATGTAGTGGAGGGTCTTATGGCCAACCTCTACTCGCTCCTCGACGGTCAGTTTAGCGTCTACACGCTCGACCACCGCGGCACGGGCCGGTCCTCTCTCCTCGACTGTGAGGCGTCGCAAGCGACCGCCGCCGGTAGCCCGAGCGGCGCCACCGTCACGATCGACGAGCTGCCTTTTTGCCTCTCAGATCTCAACTATCAGTTTGGTACACAGTGCCCATCTCTCATAATGGCGATGACTCATGCTGGCTGCAGGCCTCGATGCCAGCGCCTTCTCCGTCTCGAGCGCAGCTGCAGACTTAAACTACGTCCTCACGACGGACCCGGATCTGTCGACCTCGGATGTCTTTGTCTACGGCGTGAGCTACGGAACGTACCTCGTCGAGCGGCTCATGCACTTGGCGCCGCCCAACGTGCGCGGGTACCTCCTCGACAGCGTCCAAGCAGAGACCTTCCCATCGTCCGACGCCAACCTCGCGGGCTATTACTCCAACTGGGACCGCGACTATGGTCAAGTCGCGTCGCACTTCTTCAGTCTCTGCGACGCCGACGCGTTCTGCGCTTCGCAGATTGGCCCGTCGTCCCAAGCCAAGCTCATGGCACTCTACGAAGCGCTCGATAAGAACACATCGACGTGCGCAACACTCATTGCGAGCACCGAGCCGCCGTCCTGGGCGCTACGTAAGATCTTCGCCGGGCTCTTTATGGATATGGACAACCGGGCGCTGATTCCTGCGATCATCAAGCGCCTCGGACGCTGCAACGCCGACGACGTCCAAGTGCTTACCGCCGCGCTCTCGGTCTCGTCAGCATCGCCGTCCACGGTCACCTACGTGCGCGGCAGCGACATGCTCTACAACACGATCGTGTTTTCCGAGATCTGGGAGCCGCAGACCGAGGCGTACCTCAAGAAGCTCTTCGCGGCCGAGCCGATCGCGAGTGGCTTGTACGACGGCATTACGCCGCAGTACTGCCTCGTTGTCGGCAGCGCCACGGGGCCGATCTGCGCGGGCCAGGCCAAGGCCAAGACAAAAGGCTTCAAGTACACGCCAATCAAGGGCGTATGGAACACGTCGGCTGCGATCCCACCGAACGCGAGCGTCCTCGTGCTCTCTGGCGGCCTCGACCCGCAGACGCCCGCCAAGTACGCGACGCTGCAGTTCGAGAGCATGCTCGGCGACCGAAAAAAGCTCGTGCACTTCCCATTTGCGGCCCACGGCGTCATCAACACGACGCCAATGACGCTGAACGGGTCGCTACCCTGCGGCTACAGCGTCATTGCGTCCTTCTTGAAAGAGGACGGCGACGTGCGCTCGATGGATGTCTCGTGCGTGGACGGCGTTGCGCCCTTGACGTTCCGCGTCCCGACTGACCTCGCGCAGTCGACGCTCCTCACGAGCGATGCGTTTGACGGCGCGTACGACCCGTCGCTCGCTGTCGCCGACAAGAAGGCGAGTGTTGTGACCGCCCTCAAGAACCAGAGCCAAGTACCTCTGATCGTCGTCTCGGCGCTCTTTGGCCTCTCGATGCTCGTCATCCTCGCCCTCGGGCTCGCGCTCCGAAGGCAGCGGGCGCGCCTCCAGAAAGGCCCGTCGTACGAAGCCGACACGGCGCCATGATGCTTGAATTTGATCCCAACATATAAGAAATCAGTTTTGATTCGCGACGATGCCACAAGTGGCGGGCGACCACTGCCACAAAGAGCCTGCATGACGCATGCATGCGGCAGGCATGGGTCGCCGCCACTATCGCCGCCATGGCAACCTTCCTGCAAGAGGCTGACAAAGTGCATGCGCCAAGCACGACGACGGGGTGCTCGGCGATCGCAACATGATATTGAACTGCGGGGTTTGATTTTTAATGACGAGCGTGGATTGGTCGAAATATCGTAATTTTAGCCAATGGCATCTGGCGAAAAGGGCCATCGTTCGAATTTCGACTCGCGGTCCACACAAACAAGCCCGAGCACAATGGCCGACGAAGTGGACTACGACTCGGACTCGAACGCGATGCAGGAGGACACGGAGCACTCGCGCAGCGCGGCCCGCTCCTTCAAGGGCCGCGGGGCTCGGCTCGGTGGTATGGTCAGCGACAGCAAGAACTTCAAGGGCGTCGGCGCGGGCGATACCAAGTCCAAGGTCCTCGGCGAGAAGAGCGTCGAAGGCTACGTGCTCTTTGTGAGCAACGTGCACGAAGAGGCCCAAGAAGAAGACCTCCTCGACGCCTTCCAAGAGGTCGCTGACGTGGCCAACATCCACCTCAACCTCGACCGCCGGACGGGCTTTGTCAAGGGCTACGCGCTTCTCGAATTCAAGACGGCGGAAGACGCGTCCGAAGTCATCGCGGAAATGAACAACAAGGAGCTTCTCGGCCAGACGATCAAGGTCGACTGGGCATTTGTCAAGGAGCAGACCGGCGGCAACCGCCGTGCTGGCGCCAACCGCAGCCGGCGGCAGTGAACGTAGCGCCGTCCTTCCGCGCTCACACTTTGCATACTAACTCGACACGACTAAGCCTACGATATGTCGTCTGCGCATCATGCAGTGAATTCAGCACGACACGATATATTAGATATCACACTACGCTTAGTAGGGCGTCATGAGCTCCGTGCGCGCCTTGGCCTCCTTCTCGCGCTTGCGAGCGATGAGCCACGCGCCGCCCCAGAGGATGCACGCCCACGCGAGCCAGCCGTACGAGAAGGCGAGCGTCTTCTGCAGACCCGCCTTGTTCTCGTTACAGCGCGGGTCGAGCTTGGGCTCGTTGTTGATGACGACACTGCCGCACTGCGGCGCCCACATGTCCTTGAGCGCGCCGAGGATCATGGGCGACGGCACGTCGCCAAAGAGATGCAGCAGCAGCGTGTTGAGCCCCATGGCAAAGCCGCGGCGGCGGCGCGAGACGCTGAGCAGAATCACGATCGTCGTCGCCGGCTGCGTCGAGAACATGAGGAGGAGCCCGATGCCAAAGGTCGCGAAGAAGACGATCTTGGACTCGATGAAGATGAGCGACGCAAAGAGGAAGGCGAGGCCCGACGTCATCATGACAAACATCTGGAACGCCGCCGTCTTGCAGCGGTACTCGTCGTCGTCTTCGTGGCCCTTGCACGCGTGGTCGACGAGCCAGCCGCCGAGCGGCGACCCAATGAGACCCGCGAGGACGGCGACGCCGCCAAAGACGGTCGCCGCGATCGACTCGCTCAGGATGCCGTGGCCGATGAGGATCGCAGGCGCGAACGCCCCCATGCCCGCGAGCGTGAACGAGTACGACGCGAGGCCGAGCGACGAGCAGAGGAAGAGCGGGCAGCGCACGATGGCCCAGACCTCGCCGAGCACCGAGACCTTCTCGTCTTGGTGGTTGGTCTGCATCATGAGGTCTTCGTCGAGCTCCTGGTCCTTCAATGGCGCGTGGCCCATGGGCAGATCGTACTGCGTCGGGATCCACTTCCAGCACGCCCACGCCATCGGAAACATAAGGACAGCCGTAATGTAAAAGCCAATGTCCCAGCCGATCGTCTGCGCCGTGATCGAGCCGTACGAGTAGCCGACGGCGGTACCCGCCGAGAGGCCGGCGTAGAAGATACCGAGCCACAGCGTGCGCTTCTCGGGCGGCGCAAACTCGTCGATGAACGGCGGCGCGGTCGCATGGAACGACGACTCGCCGATACCAGACGCGAGGCGACCGATGAGGAGCGCCGTGAAGCTCTTGAGAGGCTTGGCGAGGCCGCAGAGCACGATGGCGAGCACCCAGATGAAGAGGCCGATGGCCGCGAGAAGGAACGGGCGGCGCGTCATGGACATGTAGCCGAAGATGCAGATGAAGACCGAGTAGGACGCGATGAAGGCCGAGACGAGGACGCCGATGTAGAAGCTCACATTGGCGGGATCGACGTTGTACGTTTCCTGCACGAAGAGCTGGAACTGGACCGGCGCGCCCGGGATGATGCCCCGGTCCACGTAGTTGAGCAGGTTGATCGCGCAGAGCAGCGCGAAGATGTGCGT